TGACATATCTATAAACTGACCCTATAATTGTAAAAACAAAACTCTGAACGGGGTAGGGTCAGGAGATTGATGATTAATTTCCTTTTGGGATAACACATGTTATAGGTGATTTGTGATGGTTCCCCTTTAAATGCTTTTGTTTTGTTTTGGCCTCATAATCATGCATTGTGCTCCATGTTCAATTCTATTAAAAGGACTCCACGCATTATAACCATTTCATATCATTGAATTGGTTATAGTGCCTGAAGTCCCCTAGCATTGTCCCTCCATTCAGCATTAAAACTATTTTCAAGCAGTTTAACATAAAATAAGTGTCTCTGGCCAGCTACAGCCCAGCCCCCACTGGAGGTTTGGCTAAAGCAGAGATTACACACTTCTGTCTAGTCATACAAATTCATACCAGCAATGGGTGCTGTGATAGGCTGAATGTGGTCATTTAACACTCACAGCCGATCACAGCTGCTTAGGCTAAGCTGCTGGGGACTCTTGTTTTGCATTAAAAATGGTTTAACACTGAATGTAAAAGCAACACCAAGCAGACTGCAGACACTATAACCACTTCAATGAGATGAAGCAGTTACAGTGTCTGCAGCATAACTCTGCAAGCTTAGCCACACCTTCCTTTTTCACAAAACCTCTTCTTGATTAGAATGAGAGATTAGTGTGAGCTACAATCTTATCTGCTTTTATATTTCAAAACCATTGGCCGTGGCGCAGTCAAGTATGCAATCGGGTCACACTGAACTCAAAGTGAGTCTAATGAGAAGTTAATTTGTTAAAAACAGAGGCATGGGTAAGGGGACAGAGATACACTGCGGTAAACTACAAAGTGTTTGTGTTTTTTTTTATAGCAAATCGAAAGAGATTTGAATGTCGAGAAAAATACAGCACAAATACACCCTGTTCCAAATTAGTATGCAAATGATATTTTTCTCATTTACCTAAATAATTGATGTAAATAACAGTCAGCATTATTCTTATGTTATCAATTATTAAGAGTACAGTTCAAATTTTATTGAACAAACCTAATAAGTTTTTTGTTTTTGTTTGGTTTTTTTTTAAACATAAAAAAACCGTTCAATGCACTGTTCCAAATTATTATGCACAGTAAGTTTCAAAACACTTTATAGGTTGTAAAGAACTGAAAATTGTCATTAGTTGTGTTTACTGAAATCAAAAGCTATTTCAATCAAACTTATAACAACATTTTTACTTTTTAAACATTTTATGTTACATTTTCACATAGGACCCTTATTTGATAGCAGCTTCACAAGTCTTGCATCTATTGAACTTGTGAGTTTTTGGACAGTTTCTGCTTGAATTTGTTTGCAAGATGTCAGAATAGCCTCCCAGAGCTGCTGTTTGGATGTAAACTGCCTCCCACCCTCATAGATCTTTTGCTTGAGGATGCTCCAAAGGTTCTTAATAGGATTGAGGTCAGGGGAGGATGGAGGCCACACCATGACTTTCTCTCCTTTTATCCCCATAGCAGTCATTGATGCAGAGGTATTCTTTGCAGCATGAGATGGTGCATTGTCATGCATGAAGATGATTTTATTACGGAAAGCATAGTTCTTCCTTCTGTACCAGGGGAGAAGGTGGTCAGTCAGAAACTCCACATACTTTGCAGAGGTCATCTTTACACCTTCGGGGACCCTAAAGGGGCCGACCAACTCTCTTCCCATCATTCCGGCCCAAAACATGACTCCAACACCGCCTTGCTCAAGTTGCAGCCTTGCTGGAAAAGGGTGGCCGTCCACCAACCATCCACTACATTCATCCATCTGGACCATCCAGGGTTCCAAGGCACTCATCAGTGAACAGGACTGTTACTGTTTATGTATTTTTCTGCCCAATGCAGTAGTTTCTGCTTGTGAGCATTGTTTAGTGGTGGCCGAATAGAAGCACAGTTGCAAGACTCTGGAGGACTCTACACCTTGATGTCCGTGGGACACCAGAGACACCAGCAGCTTCAAATATCTGTTTGCTGCTATGTCATGATATTTTAGCAGCTGCTCTCTTGATCCGATGCATGAATCTGGCAGAAATCTTCCTCAATGTGCCTTTATCTGCACAAACCCGCCTGTGCTCTGAATCCGCTACAAATCTCTTAATAGTGCGATGATCGCGCTTAAGTTTTCGTGAAATATCTAATGTTTTCATACCTCGTCCAAGGCATTGAACTATTTCACTCTTTTCGTCAGCAGAGAGATCCTTTTTCTTCCCCATATTGCATGAAAATGGTGCTCTGCTTAATAATGTGGAACACCCTCCTTTAGTAGTTTTTCCTTAAATTGGACTCAGCTGGCAATCTAATTATCATAGGTGTCCGAGATTGTTTTCAGTGATCAAAAGAGCCCTTAGACACAATGCCATCCGTGAGTTAAACTGAAAAACAAAATAATCATTGTGAAACTTAAATAGAATTTGCATAATAATTTGGAACAGAGTGTATAAGGCCCAAATCTCAAAATCTAATGCACTTTGTGTGACACTCCAGGTGTTAGTACAACAGCATTTGATTTGTTTTGATCTTGTGTTGTTTTATGTTCAAATCTTTTATAGTTTTTTTTTTTTTTTTACACAAAAAATTTTGGTGGAATGCTGCACGAAATTTTCTAGTCTGAAAGGAGTTATCCTAACTATAAGATAAGGCTAGGGACTAATGAAAGTATTTAGAAAATTGGGCTGACTAGATGGGCCGAATGGTTCTTATCTGCCGTCACATTCTATGTTTCTATGTATGGAAAATTCCTGGTATAGACAGGTCTCATGAAAGTTTGACCCGAAGATGCCTTATTCAATAAATTAAACTTCAACCTGGCACATATTTACCACTCACTGTCTTTTCAGAGAAAATGCAGTGTTTACATTACAGCCTAGTGATAACTTCACTGGCCACTCCTCAGATGGCTGTTAGAGATCCTTCCTGGGTCATGGCTGCCTAAAATGCATCCAAACATTTAGTGTCTCCTCCCTCTGCATGCAGACACTGAACTTTCCTCAGAGAGATGCATTGATTCAATTCATCTCTATGAGGAGATACTGGTTGGCCAGGGCTGTGTTTGAATTGTGCTGGCTCTGCCCCTGATCTGCCTCTTTGTCAGTCTCTGCCAATCCTATGGGGAAGCATTGTGATTGGAACAGGCTACCACTTCTGATGATGGCAGCAGGCAGTGGGCAGGTCTAAAGGAAACGGAGAATATAAGCAGCTGCAGACTTGAATACAAGTAAAATGTTACTATATTTAGGGAGGCATGAGGGGACCAGGGTGGCTAGATGGTGGTTTTAACCCTATAGGGGTCAGGAATACATGTTTGTGTTCCTGACCCTGTAGCGCTCCTTTAAGCTCTCAGGCCCGGAAACGGGTTGATCAAAAGAGGTAAAAATACAACATCAGTAATAAAAAATGAGTGATGGCTTTAAGTGCAAATGTCCTGAAGTGGAAGTGTTGATTTCCCTTTTTATCTCATGTGAAATCATTCTTCACATTTTATCTAGGATATTTTAGGCAGATTCTACTGCAGGCTCTGTGCAGCAATTCTATATAAATCTTTCCTGGATGGTAAGATGTTTATTTTTATATATATATAATATAAAATTTGCTAATGTAGCTTTCACCCTGCCTTTCTAATCTGCAAATGTCTAAAAATGGTAAAGCTAAGAAAACGTTTTAATAACGGATGCCATTTTTATACCTAACAAGGGGAGGAAAAAGTACGTGTCTTATTTTACCCAAGCACAAAAGCAATAACTACACGATTTGTTCCATGGCCTTTATCGTGGAAGAAATATGGATTTTGTGCTAAAGAAAGATAAATTGGGACAGTTAAAAATAGCACATCTGATAATATATGGAATGCAAGGCTTCGTTCTAAATATTGTCTTTATATTTTCAATTCCTTATTTAGCACTTTTGTGTATACGAAATATGGGAGAAAATAACTCAACAGTTTTTTAGTTTTTTTTCAAGTTAAAACAAATGTCTTGTCCATTTTAATGTTTATAAATCTAGTTTAAAAACTCTTGTATGTAAATAGATGTTGCAGTCTTTGTGGAGTTTTTTTTCTTTTTAAAGGAGCAGAAGGTATTCAGTAGGCCCATATGTTTTTAGAGTAATCTTTCTTTTATATGGGTACTTTACTAACTTTACAAGTCTGCGTATGTTTTCTACTTTGGATCCTAGTGTTGTATAATGTAAGTCTTCTTCAGGAGTGCTTAAAGGGACACTATAATCAGCACAATAAATACAGCTTAATATAGTGGTTCTGGTGTCTATAGCCTGCCCCTGCAGGTTTTTTAATGTAAACAATACCTTTTCGGAGAATTGATGTTCAGCGCCTCCATGCACAGCCTGGTGATGCCGAACTTTCATCATAGAGATGCATTGATTCAGTGCATCTCTATAAGGAGATGCTTACTTGCGCAGCGTTTTAATGCGCAATAGCTTAGAACTGCTTTCATATGGGAAAGCATTGGATTGGCTGAGATCGACAAGTTGGATGATCCCAGCTAAGGGGGTGGGGCCAGCCTCGTGGAGACCTGCGCGGCGCTGGAAATAAGGTGTGTAAACTCAACTTCTACTTTACTGAAATGGGTCTGAAAAACCTAAATTATTTTCACAGCTATAGTGTCAATATGTTTTTATTCCTGTCACAATAGTGTTCATTTAAGACATACTTTACATTTAAATTTAAATACAAAGAAGTAATTATGTGAATTAATTATAGTTAGTGATATGTCATTGGTATGTAGTGTTTTTTACAAACTTTTTTTTTTGGAAATTTAGACTGGAATAAACAAAGTCTAAGTTCCAGTGTTCCAATTTTGATCATTTTACATAATATGTGTCCAATTTTCATCATATGTAATAAAAGAACAGTCCAATATAAAATATGAGGAATGTTAAAATAAACAAACATGGACGGCATTTGAACATATAGACTATGATAATTGTAGGTGGACACATTTCATCAAAATCAGTGTCGAGCTTAAATGCTCAGACCTTGAAACTGGTTTGGTCAGATGAGACACAAATACAATATCAGTAAGTGCAAGTCCTGAATCAGATGTCTACAAACAAGATAATTTACCAAAGTGACAATACAAAATAGCCAAGACATACATACTCTCTAAGTCAGCAATGTTTTCAGTGTGGCTATCGTTGCCTTACATTTGAAATTCACTTTGAATTTTTGACAAAAAGTAAGGAATGAGCTAGGTACTAACAAACACTCCTACAGGGGGTAACCCTAATTAGAATGAGCAAAAGAAAAGGAGAACAGAGTGTTTTGAGAACAAGATATAAGGTAGTGACGTTAAATAGGTAATATTTAAAACTTGACTTTTATGGGGTATGTCCTAAAACAATAGATAAATAACACTCTAAAGATAAAGAGAACACAATGTGAATAAAAATAGGAAAGGAACGGGAGAGGGAGATAAGTCTCCTAAATCTGGTGTCTAAAGAGCAGTAGTATTGTATACAAACTTATTTTAATGATATTTTTTTTGATTGTTTAAATTTGTCTGTCTTGATGTTGTGATACGACAAAAGAAAAAATTAAAAAAATAAACTTATAAATAAAAAAATAAAAAATAAGCAAACATGGTAGGAATTTGAACATATAGACTACGATAATTGTGACGAACATTCTTTCAAGCTGTCATTTTCAGGTCTCTCCAGAGATTTTATTGTGTTCAAGCCTGGGCTTTGGCTGGGGCAATTTAGGCCACTCTTGCATTGTGTTAGCTGTGTAATTAGGGTCATTCTCATTTTGAACGGTGAACCTTTGGTCAGTGGTGTATCCTGGTTTTGTGCTGCCCTAGGCATGACAAAACTCAGACGCCCCCGCCACCCCCCCTTCCCCGCCTTCTAAATACACACATTTAAAATGAAAATCCAGAGTACTCCCTTATCTACTAAACCGCTATTTTGGTGCTGACCGATTTTGTTAGTTTTCTTAAAAACACCTAATCTAGGCAAAAAATAATGGGGGTTTAGTTACATTATATGATCATACATTGCATAAGCCTGCCACAATGTTAATGTACTCCATCTTTGACAGGTCCTTCTCTGACTGCTAAATGAGCTACTCACTTGGGGAAATCCTTCCATCTCGAGTTCTCTGCAGTACAAGGCTAAATAGGGTCCTGAGATGAGGCACCTGTGACAGGGAGGGGTGCAAAACCAAGGAGCTTAAATGGGGTGCTGCTGGGGGCCAATAAGTACAGTAAAAATGAAAATCCAGCGCACTCCCTTATCTACAGCGCTGGATTTTCATTTTTACTGTACTTATTGGCCCCCAGCAGCACGCCATTTAAGCATGTTCAGGTGAGTGCAGCCAACCCCTTGTTTTCTCCTATATGTATATATTTAGGAGTCTGGCCAGCTCCTTGGTTTTGCACCCCTCCCTGTCACAGGTGCCTCATCTCAGGACCCTATTTAGCCTTGTACTGCAGAGAACTCGAGATGGAAGGATTTCCCCAAGCCGCTCGCATGGATTTTTAGTTAGCCCACCTGTATTGTCAGTTAGCCGCCAGGCTAACAAGACATTTGCCTGGGCATTTGGGTGTGGCTTTTTTTGCCGCCCCCTGGAAAGTGCCGCCCAAGGCAAATGCCTTGTTTCCCTCATGTCTAATACGTCCCTGCCTTTGGTCCAGTCTGAAGTCCTGAGTGCTCTGGACCAGGTTTTTCCCTGACCCATGACCAGTCTCAGAGTCCTTGTGGTTGAAAAGCACTCCTTTGGTTTGATGTTTCCACCAACATACTACACTTTTGGATGGTATTGCGCAGGTGAAATGCTTTAAATTGGTGCCAAACAGTTCAATCATCATTTCATCAGACCATATAACCTTGTTTTGCTCAGCCTGAGAGTCTTTTTTTCTTGCAAATTCAAAGTGGGCTTTCATCTGACCAATCTGCCATAAAGGCCAGATTAGTGGAGTGTTGCAGTGATGGTTGTCTTTACACGAGTTTCTCCCATCTCTACATATCATCTCTGGAGCTCACCCAAAATGACCATTGGGTTCTTGGTCACATCTTACGCCAAGGCACTGTCCACTTGGTGATTTCTCAGTATGGCTAGGCAATCATCTCTAGGGAGAGTCCTAGTTGTTCCAAACTTCTTCCGATTTAAGAATTATGGAGGCCACTGTGCTCTATGGAATATTCAATGCAGCTGACATTTTTACAGCCATCCCCAGATATGTGCCTCTACAAAATCCTGTCTATGAGCAGGGAGTTTCTTTATCTAGACAGATGTGTACCTTTCCAGATCCCATCCAATCAATTGAATTTTCCACAGGTGGACTCCAATCATAGTGTAGAAACCTCTCAAAGTTGATCCAGAGAAATGGGATGCATCTGATCTAAACGTGTCACAGCAAAGGATCTGAATACGTATATGAATGTGACATTTACGTTTTTTGGTTTATTTTTTTTTCTTTTAAGAAATTTGCAAAGTTTGCAAAAATCTGTTTTTTACTTTGTCATCTTGTGGTATTGAGTTTAAAAAAATACAATCTAACCTATTGTAGCATAAGGCTGCAGCATAAAGAGTGGGGGAAAAAAAGAAGCAGTTTGAATACTATCTGATTGCACTGTATATGCTATCCTCAAGGGAATGTCGCTTGGAGAAGATAAAGCAGTAATGTAGGCAAGTAATGGAATCGGTGTTGTATTTATCTCCCATGCTAAAATTAGGTTAGGATCCACCAATATTAGATGACTTTGACGTAGTGATGGACCTAACTTCTTGGCCATATGGCATGACTTATTCTCATGTATTTTTCATTTATGACAGGGGATTTTAACTAGCCTTGAAAGATTTGAAACTGTGTGTTTTGTGTGTGTGCTGATGAATATTTTAAGTATTTTAATTTAACAAGACTTCTGCTGGAGTCTGGAATAAATATATTTGTCCTTCAGGAATTGCCAAAATGGTAAGCAAAACAATGATAAAAAGAATAGTTTAAACATTTTCTATTATAGTCCAGAAATTACAAGCCGAAGAATATTACACAACATTATGATAAAATGTCATAAAGCGAATACTTTTAATATTCAGTATTGTATATTTGCAAAAAAAATATATATATATGTATAATGCCTATTTTATTGTTTCTAATATCTTGCCTTGATCACATGAAAACTCCTCGTATGCTAATCTTCTGGAACAGAACATTAAACAAAATCCTTAAAAAGAAAACAAAAAAAACACAAACAAACTCCTATTAAAAATAACATTGCTAATGAGTTTCTGGGTAAGACAGGAAAACTGTCACAACAGGCCAATGAAAATAGATTTGTTGCAATAAACGTGTATTATTTCGTGATGAATATGTAACTTCTTTTTAGTGCGTTTCCTGGCTTATCCTTGCTCTGTGGGGTCAGTAATTATTTGCTCTATTTGGTTAGAAGCACCGCTTCTTATCTACTAAGACCATGTGCAATATTAAAGTTTGAGACTACCCAAAATTTATTTGTGTTTCGGTCTTCCTCATTATGTCAAGGTTTGTGAATGCACTCTAGATCGGATAAGCAGGCATCCATCCAAAGAGGACTTAAAGTTGGATGCTTTCGTAGAGCAAGGGTAAGTCAGAAGGTGCAATGAAAAGCGTTTTTAACTTACATTTATGTATTACAAAATAATATACACAGATGTTGAAATTCATGTATCATCTACCTTAAATTATAATAAAAACAAAGAAAGTGTTCCTTTATAATTTAGTCCGTTCGAGCGTGTGTCTCTTATCTGACCTAAAATTAATATTCTAGATCTAGAGACTATTATACCTGACTATGTTGAGCATGGGATGATGTCCCCCCTGCAAAAGCACAACATACATATTTTAGGCAGGTCATTTTCTAGCTATGCAGAGGTTTATTGTGTGTTTTTTTATTTTTTTTTTTATTCTTTCTAGGTCTTTAAAAGATTAAATTGTACTGTTGTAGTTTGATAATTTATTTTCTAGGCATGAAGCAGTATTCAATTTTGTTATCTTACTGTTCAGGGAGAAAACACTTTCTTTACTAGGCCGCCAAAAATGTAATGACTTACCAATCATATAATATAACCTATAACTGAGCTAATTTTTTGGGTTCCAAATGCATCTAGGTATGTGATTATTTTATAGTGGCTATTTAAATTCTTATAAATCTAAATGGCATGTGTGTCAATTTATATGAATATACCCCTTTCCTATATTACCAGTTAAGGGGGAGTGTTAAAAAATGGGAGAGTGCATGCTCTATATAATTTAGGTTTAGAAAAGGTACAGTAGTCCTAGGTAGCTCTGCTCTCTCATATATTATTATATACTTTATAAAACTGTCATTGGGAAAAATTAGTCCAGTTACTGATAGCACCGCCTCTCAAAGTACACATCTAGTACTGTGTTCATTGAAATTAGAATACAGAATAAAAGCAAATGACAAATATTAACAAAATTCCAGCTTTCACAATTATATTGTAATAGTTAACGTTTAATGGAGAACTGTCACCTCAACACTATTTTCTCATCTAACAATCCTTTCATCACGTTTTGTAAGGAAATAGATTTTTTTGTTAAATTATATATATATGTATGTATGTATATATATATATATTTATATATATATATATATATATATATATATATATATATATACATATATACACACACACACACACACACACACACACACACACACACACACACCCAAGACACAAAGAGCAATTCGGCCCTCACACCCTCTGCTTCTCGTCTCTCCCGGCGCCCTCCCGATTCACGTTCAGATTGGCTTCCACACGCCCATGTAGCTGAGTCCAGAAGAGACTGAAAATTTCATCCAGCCGTAACAGGCAGTAATCAATGGAGCAGCAGTGTGCTCTGCGAGATAGGCCCGATTCATGGTTATATAGTTACAGAGGCTGGTACGTGTATCCATCAAGGTCATGGTTATATAGTTACATAGGCTGGTACATGCATCCATCAAGGTCATGGTTATATAGTTACATAGGCTGGTACATGCATCCATCAAGGTCATCCTTCCTCACATCTGTTTTTGCTGTTGATCCAAAAGAAGGCAAAAAAAAACCCAGTTTGAAGCACTTCCAATTTTGCAGCAAATTAGGAAAAAAATCCTTTTTGATCCCAGAATAACAGTCAGATTTGTCTTTGGATCCAGAAGAATCATCCTACAGTTGAAACATTATATCATAGAACATTTAGTTATTTGCAAGTATGCATCTAGTTGCTGCTTAAACATCTATACAGGCTCTGATTCCTGCTTGCTTAGAGGATGGGCATCCACCATTTTAGGCAGATGAAGTTTGAGTCTGTAACAGCCATTGACAAGAGGTAGGTGCAGCTAAAGCAGACAGATACTGTTCAGTAGGGACCGAGATATCCCCAGCTGCTCCAAGAGGGTTATACGAGTTCGGCTGGGCTACCCCGTGAGCTGATGAGCGAGAAGAGGGACCGCCTCTCCCAAGCTCCTTCCACAGCATGCTCCGGCCAAGTGCTTTGGAGTCCAGCTGGCTGTGTGACTCGGGTAAAGTCTCGAATGAGTCATCTGTGCACCCTCGACTTGGGTACTACACCTTTGTAAGATTTTAGCTGGATGGTCAGGAAAATTTAGCCAAATAGACAGAATCACATGCTTCAAATGTCCTGGCAGCTCAAAGGTCAGACTCTGCCCCCCTTACATTTATTTCAATATAGTATATGCACAGGCTGAAAAGTGCAAATAATGGGGCAGTTGTGCCGGTATAGTATTAAGAGAACACTTTAAATACATAAAACACTGTTGTTTTATGTGAGAAGAATTTTGTAAACGTGCTGATTTCAGTAAAAATGGCTATAATTCTATATTCCTATATTTATACATGAAAGACTTGCCATGTTAAAAGGATATGCAAGTGTTATTATACCTAGAAAAATAGTTAAATTAAATATAGAAGAAGTCCAGATAGCACATGTGGATTCTGCATAAGTGGAATTGTAATCCTTGAACATGAATTTATATAATCCATTTACCGCATCTGAGCTAAAATACAGTCAGTCGGTTTCATAATTTTTTCCTTGTTTGTTCCAAAGAAAATCGTGCTGCTTGAGTATGTTGTTTTTTTGTTTTTTTTCTCCCGTTAGAATTTATTCTAAAAATAAGTAAAAAATGGGTAGGATGTTTCCTGCTAGTAAGACATAACAAAAGGGAAAATGCTTCATAGTTTTATAAATTGGAATAAGAACAATCCAGATGATGTCAGCTGCCCTGCTGATTGCTGCTTATACAAGATGGATCATAACTAATAATATATTTAATTTTTTTTGCAAGTCACATTACAAATTATGAAAAATGCTAAGTTATGTATTTAGTTCGGAGATTAAAATTGAGCACACAAAATGTACTGATCAAATGAGCAACAAAAAGTAGATTAGAGAAATCTCATATCACTCAAAGCACATGCCAAATATCCCTCCTCTAGCAATATTACAAAGGGGGGAATGTAAATCAGAATCAGACCTCTCTTTTCTGCTTACACCCACCCAATAATATCAAAGTGTGTTATTTAGTACCGAAAGCTTTTAGCAAATTATCATTCCTTCAGGTACCTTTTAAAGGGTTAATCAGACCCTTGTTAAAGGCTTGGAAGGATCTTGTCAAGAAATAAAACCTCACAGTTTACGATATTTGAAGGTTAATATGTCTTGCTTTTTTCCCCACTTCAGTTTACACATCACTGTCACATGTATATTTTACATGAATAAAGAATTATGTTAAATGATGAACTAGTAAAAATCAAAATCAAATCTATGTTAAAAATATAAAAATATCTAATTATTTTACAATGTATTTCTTAATTATGTTATTTAGGTGTGAAGATATTTAGTTGACTTTCATCTATTTGCAATTAATTGTCCTTACAATGACACAGACACAAACACAACCATGCACTGACAGACACACACACACGCACTGACAGACACACACACACTGACAGATATATACACACATTGACAGACACACACACTGACAGATATATACACACATTGACAGACACACACAATCACTGACACACAATCACTGACACACACAATCACTGACACACACTCACTGACACACACATTTACACACTCACTGACAGACAAATTTGAGGTCCATCCAGCCTTCCTACCTCTCGCTGGGGTCCAGTGTGGGTCTGAGCTGTGGCAGTTTCTCACTCCTCCCAAGCGCTGTTTAGCATGCCAGGGCTGAAATTATGTCATTTTCCGGCTCCCAGCATCACAGAGGGTGCACGAGAGAGGAGTGGAACTGTAATATCAGGGGAAACCAGACAGTTTGCTGTCTTGCGGGTGCCTAGGTCAGGCATGTTGCCGACAGAGTGGAGGGATTATTGGGAGGGGCTGGGGATGACCCAGCTGTCATGGTCCATATTGGTACCAATGACAAAGTCAGAGGAAAATGGCAGGTCCTAAATAACGAGTTCAGGGAACTAGGAAGTAAGCTAAAGAAAAAGACCTCCAAGGTAATATTTTCAGAAATATTACCTGTGCCGCGCGCTACAGCAGAAAGGCAGCGGGAGATTAGAGAGGTCAATGCGTGGCTAAAGTCTTGGTGCAGGAAAGAGGGTTTGGGGTTTTAGAGCACTGGGCTTGGGTACAACCTGTATAGTTGTGATGGATTGCAACTAAACGGAAGAGAGTCTTCTGTGCTGGGGGTTAGGATGGCTAGAAGGTTGGAGGAGATTTTAAACTAATAGTAGGGGAGGAGGGTCAAAGCAATCTAGAAAATGGATATAGGATAGAAAGGCTTTAGCTCATTATAAGGGGGGCGGAGATGGGGGAGGGGAAAGCTCAGAACAGAGAAGGTTTGTAATATTGATAAAAATGTACAAGTACAAATGACTCATAATAATTTTAAATATTTGCTTACTAATGCAAGGAGCCTATATAACAAAATGGGGGAACTAGAGGCAATAGCATACACTAAACAATATGATATATTAGGCATTCCAAAAACATGGTGCGATGATACACATGACTGGGCAGTTAATTTAAATCGGTACACGTTATTTAGGAAGGATAGGAAAAACAAGAAGGGTGGTGGGGTATGTTTGTATGTTAACCATGAGTTTAAGTCAAATCTTAGGCATGTGGAGTGTGACGAGGAGAATGTAGAAGCTTTATCGGTAGATATCTGCTTGGGGCAAACAAAGGTAAATAAACTATTGGTTGGGATATGTTATAAACCACCTAATGGAAATATTAATGAGGAAGAACAGCTGTTAGATCAAATTGGGAAAGCTGCAAATCGGGGTAACATGTTAAATATTGGAGATTTTAATTACCGGACATAAATTGGGATAGAGTGACTAGTACTTCAGCAAGGGGAATCAGCTTTTTGAATGTGTTAAATGACACCTTCATGTCACACAACTGGTACAAGCACCAACTAGAAAGGATGCTTGTCTGGATCTCGTTATAACAAACAATATTGACCTTTAGACCAAAATTCAAGTAGGGGAGCATTTGGGAAATAGTGATCACAATATGGTAATCTTTGAAATAAACTAAAAAAAAAAAAAAAACACAAGCACGTGGGGTATACTAAAACGTATA